TGCCAACACTCTCCATTGCGATGGATAAGAAGTCTATATACTGGCATAGGAACTCTTGAAATCATTAATGCTTAATCTCCTTCTGTTCCTTAATTAAATCACTAAGCAACACTGTATGACATTAGTTGGCCATTAACAAGACTGAAATTTTTGAATATCCTTAAAAAGATGCACTGCACAACCAACCTACATTTAGGGGTGTTTCCTTTATTATGTAGAAGTTATTATTTCTTGTTTTAATTTGAAAATTCATTTGAAAACCACACTATTTTGCTTGAATCTTTTTTCTAAGATAGTGATACTTTTAGAATTTTCAAACTCATAATTTCTATGCAGGTATTTATTATAGTTCTCCAATGCTGGATTACTATGGTACTTCAGAAACTCCAGCTGGATATTTGAAGAATTCTGAAGAAAATGAAGGGAGTTAGAATATATATTTTGTATATTTTTTAAATGACATCCAAGATAAACAGCTTTATAAGAATAGCATATTCTGACTAGCTCTAAGTTTGCATTATTGTACTCTGGAACTCCAGATGATTTCAAAAGTGAGGACCTATCAGATGAATAGCTGTTATCCAGTTTTCCGGTGTCCTAATGTTCTTCCAGCAGAGGCAGAGTGAGTTTACTTTTAGTGTATTTCTTGGTAGCTTACAGGCAACTGAAGAGAAATTAACTATATTGTATTGCATTTGAACCTGGCAAAATGATCTTTCATTGATCTATGTCATGGGAGTCCAAGAAGGCTGGGTAAATTTCTGATTAGTCCATTTCCTAGAGAATCAGTTCCTGATTATCTTGTCCCTGAACTAGGTTGCTAACTCATTCTTTGCATGGGTAGACTTCTAATTGGTTTATTTTGAAGTATTTAATGGCTTGTCTTTGAGCAGAAATCTGTGAGGAGTTCTTGTTGCTGAAGCTGCTGAAAACTCTTTTTGATTAGTTAAGACCAGTATATTCTTGGTGTGGCATAAAACTGGGAACCATATTTTTTTTTTATTTTCAAACTCCTTCCTCTTTACAGATCTCAATAGTTTTTCTATGTAGTCACATATGGTAATGGCTTTTAGGTTGTTTCTCTACTATTATTCCAATAAGGTCTGTGACATTTCAATGTAAGGTATAAACACATTTCCTACTAGAAATGGTTTGTCTTTCAATATATCTTTATTGTTGCTAGATTACATTTGCACCTGATCTTGTTAGCTTGTAGAGCAGGAGTGTCAAACTGCCGGTCTGCGGGCCAGATGCATCAAGCTAAAGCCCTCCCATTGGAAAAAAAAGTCACGATATATCGCGACACAGCACATGCCATTATGAGTTTGACACCCCTGTTGTAGAGCATTACAAATTCTAGAATAGTATATTTTAAAAGAGTTATTGGTGAAATACCAGTAGCCTTGCAATTAAAAAATATCAGATTTCAAATACAACTTTTTAATATTCCAAATCTACTTGCAAAGGTTAGGGAACTTTTTTCCTGTTTTATTTTCTTTATGGATTTATTCAGTTTATGGTTGTGGAGGCAAGGGGAAGGGGAGACAACATGAACTCTACCCCTTTGCACTTCCATTGTGACACTCTATGCCAGGGGTCTTCAAACTTGGCCCTTTTATGACTTGTAGACTTCAACTTCCAGAATTCCTCAGCCAGGCACACTGGCTGAGAAATTCTGGAAGTTGAAGTATACAAGTCATAAAAGGGCAAAGTTTGAAGACCCCTGCTCTATGCAAATACTAAATGGTGAAACTGTTGTGATCTTGCAACATATCTAACCTTTCAACTTGATTTTATTGTTGTAGGGTGTAATAACAGAAATTTGGAAACTTGTAGAGCTTTTCTCTGCCCCACCTATAATGCAGAATTAAGGCATGTTTATTTTGTCCAGGATGAAGATATTTACTGTCTGTTATCTGCTTATGGCTTCTACACTCCTTTGCCTTTCTCTAAATCACACTTTTGTCATTTTGATGAAACTTCTGTACAAGCCCATGATCTTGATGTAAAGATGATCCTATCCATTGTTTTGCAGCAGCATAGGTCAAGGTCAATACATCATTCTCTTACCACTGTGGTGGTGAACCCATGGCATGTGTGCCACAGGTGGCATGCAGAGCCTTCTCTGTGGGCACGCACACTGCCACTCCAGTCCTAGGCCTCTGCCACCGTGTGAAAAAAAAAGTTTCAATCAATCAATTTCAACTTCTCATGGGAAAAAAAAAGATCTCGCAAGTTGGAATTGCTTGAATTATTTTCAGTCCCACACAGCGGCAGAGGAAGTGATGTGTCGGAGCTGGAAAAAAGGTGCCGTGGGGGGTGGAGGCAGTGGCAGGAGCCATGCCCATCCAGTGGGCTACGCCCATCTAGCAAGCCACGCTCACCCAACAATACATAAGTGGGTTTTGGGTTGTGGTTTGGGCACTCGGTCTCTAAAAGGTTTGCCACCACTGTCTTACCATCTTTCCAGCATCCATTTTAGTTTCTTTTTTTCCCCCAGATGCTAAATCAGAACCACAGAAAATTCCTATCTCCAATCTGTTTGGAGACAAGTTTTATAATTAACTAATTGCCTTTTTCTTCTAACTTCATAATAAAAAGAAAACAATTTCTATGGTAGTTTGCCTTAAAAGGTCACTGTGATAATTACATCTCAAAATTACAATTAAAATATCCCCCCCCCCCCACAGGAATTAGGTCTGCAGTTGGCTTGACTAGTTTTGAGAACTTTTAAGATTATAGTTATTATGTTGTGACTGTGTTTAGAATTAACCAATTATATTCAAACTGATTGTAAATCATAGTCAGTATACATTTGCCATCAATTAAATGACTGATCAAGGCCATATAAAGCTCAGCTATTGTAGTAGGATTTTTCTGACATTTACTCAGTTGCCTCTTATAGCAAAAGCCATAATCTGCAAACAGCTTACAACACATCAAAGGGATCTCACTGTTGGAAAGTATTATTCAGGAGAAAGGTACAAAATAATTTACAAGGCACTGGATATACCATGTAATATAGTGAAGATAGTCATCAACAAGTGTAGAAAAAATGGAACAACAGTGACATTGTCAAGAACTGGATATTTGCAAAAATCTACATCAAGTCTGACAAAAACGTTGAAAAAAATGTGATGAGACCAAGGGTGAACTTTTTGCCCACAATTCCAAAAAGTATGTTTGGCACAAAAATAACACTGTGCATTATCAAAAGCACACTATATCCATAGTGAAGCATGATGGTGACAGCATTATGCCTTGGGGTTGCTTTTCTTCAGTTAGAACTGCAGTTTTAGTCAAAGTGGAGGAATAATAAACAGTTCCAAATATTAATTAATTTTGGACAAAACCTTCAGGCCTTTGTTAATCCGATGAAGATGAAGATAAATTTCACTTTTTAATACAACAATGACCCAATTGAAGAAAAGAATTACTTCACTAGAAGAAGACCAAAGTCTCACTGTCCAGGTGAGAGCCAGGATGCAAATCTAATTGAAAATCTATGGGGTAACCTGAAAAGGGCTGTGACAGGATGCCGTTACAATCTGACAGATTTGGAGTGCTTTTGTAAGGAAAAGTGGGCAAGGATTCTTCCCCAAAAGATTGAATGCTGCCATAAAATCAAAAGATGTTCCACAAAGTATTATTTTAAGGGTTATGCAACCATATTATTATACATTTTTTGTTATTTTGTCCTCTAAAAGATTTCAGATTGTCTTTCAATTGAATTGTACAGCTTATGTATATTAAAGGTGGGAAAAGTTTAAAGTAAGTTATCTTGATCTGATTTTTTTTTTTTTTACGTCTCAAAACCTGGCATTTTAACAGGATATGTAGACTTTTTATATCCACTGTATGGGGCTTTTAAATTTAAAAACTAGCCCTGAGAAGTGTACTTGACAAATCAATGCAGAGCTTTCAGCACTAGGGTTATGTGCAAATCTGAATAAATAAATCTAATAAATAGACTGCAGGTTTTAAGTTGTCTTCAAAAGTATATTGTGATAATGTAATTGGCTGGTAAAAAATAATTGTTGCTTCTGTTACTTTGTTGTCTTCCTATTGAAGTGGGAGCAGAATAGCAAATTAATCATAAATAGACCACTTTCCGAGTAAGAAAAACTGGACTGCTAAGAGTATATTCTTTAGAAAAACAGCCAAGATGTATACATGTCTCCCTAACACTTACAAGAAATTCTTCCATCCAAATTTCAAGATTGGTTACTCCATCGATATTCTTTGTAGAAACACAAATCCCAAACTTGGCAATACCTTGCCTGAAGTGTAGTATGCAAACATAACTAAACAAATTAAAAGGCATGTGTGTTGAGAGCATCTAACATAATACTGAGAAATGGAATGTGATCATTTGAATTATTTCTCACAATGGTAGGTGGATATAATAGTGTTCATATTTACTTAGTAGTAAATTATAATGAATTTTAAAATATATTCAGAATGAATTTAACATTTGTTTGTAAAGAAATAAACATTCATAGTTAACTTCAAACATATTCACCTTCACTGGCTGTTAATGCTATTTTAAAATTGGAATACTTGAAAAAACATTTGCATACATCATTAAATTTCCAATTACCATGTAAATGACAACTGAAAGAAACAGAGGATCAACACTTTAGTTAAAAAAGTGTTGATTGTAGAAGCTTTTCATCAGATGTGAGATTTTACTTTGAGAATATGTACCTATCAGTCTGATGATATGAACAGCAAATAAGACTGCAATTCTTTCAGGTAGAAATAGCTTTCTTTAAAAAAATGCACAGCAGGAATCCTTTCCCAAGACTAAAATAAATGACAAAGTAAAAGACCAGTCTTCCATAGAAATTTAATGAAGACATGCTTCAAGGGATTTTCTGTAGTAGAGATCATTTTACACCCCAGGACAAAAGAAAAACAGTACAGCTTTGCAGTCAGAAGCTGCAATCAAAGGAGAATGAAGAAAATAACAAAAACACATCGCTTGTTAAATCACTTACAATGGTTTTCCTTTGGATTCACAAATCAAAGTTATAGATAGTCCTTCTTCTGGCCACAGTGTAGAAGATATTATTTTAACGGAAGGAATATCTAGAAAAAATAATATTTATAAAATCAGATTAAAATTGTACTGTGCAAATTATGAAAGCAACATCAGATTCACTTGTGGATGAGGTAACCTTGGAATTTATTTAAGCTATGATACTGAATTCAGGTGGTTGTATGAATCTGTACAATGAAATAATATTTTTAGTGTTTAAGAACAGAGAATGGCTATAAGGGATCTAGATGTTATTACAATATGGCAGTAAGATATACAGAGAAAAGTATGATCTAAAGTAGATCTTACAGAATATCTTACATTCACAAAGTAGGCAGTGATGCAACAGTAAATTTGACCCAATGACAAGTTGGAACATGAACAGTCCTAGCCTTGTTATGTCAGCTAGAATTATTTCTGCATCATCTCTCTTCCTATGGAAATTTTGCTGTTCATTTCAAAACCAGTGGACTTTCATTAATACATTGTACATGAAATTTCAAAACCACAAATGACAAACATAACATACTGTATAACTTAATTGCAGTACTAGTAATATATCTAAAACTTATCATTGTTCTTTTGATTTTGTATTTGATATTCATTTTTTAAATTAGGGATATCTCTTCACAGCTTCTGAATACTTTCATATGGAAGCATAGCTTTCATTAGTTTTGTGCACTATTCATTGTAGTAAAATCCACTTCTTGCAATGACCTTGCTTTGACCTGTTTACCAGCTAAACTACAAAAACAGTATTTAATTAGCCCATCGGTTTATGTTCATATACACATGGCTGGCTTTATTAGAAAGATCTATAACCAAAATGCTTGATTTCAGTCACTCAGCAATATCTGCTCCATCCATTCCTAGTAGCCCTTTCATGCATATTTTATTCATGCCTGAAAAAGGCTTGATGCTTGCACATAGCACTTGCATTTTAATTATGTAGAAGCCTGGCAGTGGAAAACTTGGTGAAATCTTGGATTAGAATCTAAAAGAATATACTGGAAATATTAGGCTAATAGTGCTTAGTACATGTTTTGAGAATATGAAAGGAGTTAAGACAAAATGTTCATCAAATGCAAACATATTCAACAAACAATTTGTAAAGAAATTTAGATAAAATGTATTTTTGTTTTGCAATGTGGAAAAAGAATGGAAATTATGCAGAAGCAAGGTATGCATCAATACATTTTTATCTTTTCCTTCTTAATCTATATTTGACATGGTCACAGATTATATGGCTTTCCCATCAAAGGTTCAACATGATTGGCTTTGCATTAGGCAAAATATGGTAAACTCCTAAGCTTCAGGAAATGGAGGAAAAATATCTAATCATTCTCATCTTTCTGAGAGGATACTTTTATGTTAATAGTTGGATTAGATGAATGGCCTGTTCATCAAATCATATTACACAAATGCACTGCAAACAATACCCTTAAGGCTTCAAACAAGTTGAGATGCTACATGTATTCTGTACTTGTACTGTGGTGCTCATAAGAATGACATGCTACCATTTTGGAGATACTCAAGCTACACTGAAGAATTTCTTTCAAAAGGTAATTAACACGACTCAGGAAAAGCAGCCTTGGGAACAGTGTGGTGATGTATATCAATATTTTCAGTTATGTCTATCAGGCTGAATGGACACTAAAACACCATTTATTTTAAGTGACCGTATTTATCATAATACTCTGTATTCTCATGATAAATGGCAGTTGTAGAGGTTATTCAAATAGCTCCTATACGGTAATAGAAGCCATACATTATCTTGAAATTCTGCAATTAATTTGAGATTCAGCAGTCGTTAGTCATGACAGAAAGATATATAAAGCTAATAAAAATGCAACAAATATAAACAAATTTCATTTCTCAAAATAAGGTACAAGTAACATTGCATTCTAACTAAAACAATGAAGTAATGTAGTTATTTATATAAAATAGCAAACTATGTTCAAAACCAAACTATGTAGCAGGTGAATAATAAACTATATGAAATGAATGCAACCAGCATTCTAGTCCTGAAACAATTTACTTGGAATAGTTATAACTGTGGTAAGATGTAGTGTTTGAGAGTCATATGATAGTTACAGAAATTAAACCAGGTGAATGGTCCTGTAAAAATGAAGAATATTGAAAGATGGAACAATTATACATTTATAAACACTACAATTATACATTTAAAAGAATCTTGTTTTCTGCATTCTAATCTTCACACAAAAGCCTTATTTATTATTAAACAGTGTGAGTGCACATTATAAACACTTTATTTAGTTCTTAGAAATAATATGAATTGCCGAATTCAATTAGATACTTTCAAAAAGGTAATTCCTTAATCTCTTTGTTATAAGCTTTCCGAATGTTTACTTGAATGCTCTGAGAATGGTTAACTATATTTCTGTTCTCTCCCCTATACAGCCCTTGAGTGTGAAAATTTAATTTTATAGATATTAGTTGTGGGAAGAAACAAAGAGAGAGAAGGAATGAAAAGGAGATTTTCTTGTATATGATTTGAAAGACCTCCCTAAGTTTTCAAAAGCTGTGGGAGAAGTGTTGAACAAGAATAATATATTTCTGTGGATTATAAGTAAACTAATTAAATTAATATATATATTTGTGTGTATGTGTGTATGTGTGTGATAATTACAATATATTACTATGAGTGATTTTGGAGTATGCAGATAATAAGGTAATAAGATATAATAAGGTAATAAGATATAATAAGGTAATGATATAACAAATAATAGATGATCGATATAGAATATTTAAATGCTTTTCCTGTATTTTTTTCCTCTGTTTTTAGAATACTAGATATGCATATTTTGCATATTGTTTAAAACTAGCAAATGTGTGAGGGTATAACTTTTGATTAAAAGCTACTAAAATAATCATTTTTATTAATGTACAATAAGCATCAACAGAGCAGTTATTTACATTATGATGTCCTCTTCTATCAACCACACTGAGCTAGATAATTGGTTAAAGTTCTTAAAAATTTAGGTCCAAACACTTGGATTGCAATTTATGAAAAAAAAAAAATTCTTGATAAATTACATGAGTACATCCATGTAATTTATCAGCTTATTTCCTACAGTAATGCATACCTGTAAACAAACTAAGCCAACTACTGAATCCTTGAAAATGGTACTGAGGGACACACTATGTCTGAATATTTAGCAAGTGTGGCTAATCGCCATTTACAGATATATTTTAGGAATTTATTTAAATTAATTCTAAAGGTTCTGAAAAATAAGTTAGGAAGATTGTTATTAAATCATCTGACCATTTTCTTCCAGCAAAGATGATGCTGTGCAGAGATGCTGCTAAATCTTGAGGGTAAATGCTTTCCTATGAAATGGGAGATAACATCTGCTAAATTGTCTTCCAAAAATGTTATATATGATATGAGACTCTGCCTAGGTCATTCTAGATATCGATGTTGCAGGCCCTTCCTAATGCTGTGACAAAGCAGACTACAGTTAGGCTATTAGATGAAGCCAATTCAAGTAATTAAATGGAGACGTCAGGAGACAAAATAATCATCTATTTAATTCATTTTAATTTATTGCCAGGAAAGGTGGAAAAGCATAGTTTGGTTTGGTTTCAAACCATGGTCCTGTTGTTAGAGTTTAAAGACTACTTTGCAATTTTTATAGTTACTCATATCTGTAAAAAACTATTATTCTGGTTTGTGGCTTATGACATATCTATCATGTGTTTGGTAGTCAGATGTTTCATCTAATAAAAATTATGCTTCTTTCATCCAAATGAAGTTTATACAGTAAGGACTATGTAGATTATGTAATAAACTGGAAACATTTCTTTCTCTTTCTAAAAAAAAAACACACTTTTAACACCTGCAACTCACTTAAAAAAGTAAATGTTTCAGACATAGCATACTAACTCAGCGAGTGCTTGTGACTAAGATTTTAAAAATAATTTTCATAACATTTCATATCCAAGAGTGCACCTGCTGTAGTACCTTGCTAAACTCATTTGCCAAAATATTTATATTCCTATTTAATTTTTGTGCAGACTATTGGCAATTCTTCCCTGTAAGTTTTTCAGAGCAATTATTATTTTTTATTCTTCATATATCTGGTTTTCTTTCTACTATTTTATTCAAAAACTGAACTGAAAATAATTTTAAACTTTTATGATATAACAATTTCTGCATATTTAAAGTGTTAATATAATTCATAGCGGATTCTTTCCACTATGTGTTAAAAATGGACAGATTAATATATACATATACATATTAATCAGTGTCCATTTTTAACACATAGCAGAAGGAGAGAGAGAGAGAGAGAGAGAAAGAGAAAGAGAGAGAGAGAGAGATGTATATGTATATATATGGCATGTGTATGTGTGTGTTATGTATATGTATGGGTAGATATATACAGAATGACAGAATGTTGTTTTTAATGTGGGCCAGAGCGCTCACAATAAAAATTGACAATAAGGCTTATCTCTTATCTCTTCAGTCTTTTCACAAAAAAAAAAAAAAATGTTTCTGAAACCCAACTCCAGAATAAGTCTGGAAAATAAAAAGAGCAAAAATATTTTTAACCACCTGATAATAACATTATAGAATCAGTCTTATTTTTCAGTGGTTTCTTTCTTAATTTTCTGGACAGTATTAAAAAAATACAATATATGATAATCAAATATAAGCATTGAATTAATTATATATTATGCACAATATACTTTAAATATAAAATAATATACTTTAGTTTTTGAGATTTGTATGAAATAAACCTATGAAAATGATATTATTTTAGTTATATGACCAAAACCATCCAGAGAGATAGCTGAGAGAAAATAAAGAAGAGAAAGTATTCTAGAGAAAATAAACGACAACTAGATATTGCACTTTTAATAGGAAATATATATTCTGAAATAAATATTATTTTTGCAAAAGTATTATCACAATAGTTATTAGGCAATGTTTATTAGGCAATTAGTAGGTATTTTTATGTTATTTACTTTACTATATGGTAATATACCCTATTACTAAATTTACTTCTTAGTTTTAATTTAAGGCCTGTATCTTAAGAAATTTGAATATAGCAATGAACTCATTAGTTATGCTTAAAAAATCCAACATTCTTTTAATAAAATAAATCAGTAAGATATTGATTTATGCCTTCAATATTTTATAGTATTTTTAAAGTCACTGATTCCCTTTTAAATTATTGCATTATAGATATACAGTTATATAATTATGCTTAATGAAGAGCACAGTGTAATGTATACAATGAAGAAGGAACCTGGGTTCATTCTAGTTCATGCATTGTGCTTTTGCTTTAACAGATGCCTTCTCCTTTTTTTGCTATTAAAGTAAATACAGTAAGCAGTGAAAACTATGTAAAACCCACTGATTTTTCACGAAATATGTGACATTCTCTAGAGGTGAACAGTATCTTCTATCATCCATAAAACAGAGTTGCAATTGATATCACTGCTTTGCGTTGTGTTATCTCTTCTGAGACTATTGGTAATCTTCTCTGTTAAAAACCACTTTTCTTTCCTCACTAAATGCAGGTTCTATGACCATGATTAACTTAATATCAGTACAAATTAGCTAATGAATAACCGCAACCATTATTTAAATTTAACTTATAGAGGTAAAATCAAGAAAGGAATAAATTGAAACACACATTTTGGGAAAATGATTGAGAAGTTTAATTTGAGAGATAGGACACAAATAACTCTTTTCTCTCACTTATTCAACCCAAACTTGCCAATTTCTATTCCTGTTCTGATGAAATAGAATTAATGAAAAGCCCAAAATAGAATGTGGTACACATTCTTTCTCTATAATATCATGAAAAACCATAGCTAGTGTCCATAGGCGCCTTCATCATTTTTCTATCATTATCATTTTTGTAGCATTCTCAATATATCTAAACACAAAAGTGAAATAGCAAATACTTGGAAATTGTTTTCTGTAGCTTTCTGTAGCAGGACTGTACCCAATGGTGTAGGAAGATCTAGAACAGATTCTAGCCTCCTTTCTCTATAACCAATGTAACAATGTCTTTTTACCTACATATACTACTATACTGTAAATCTTTTGCTAATACCACTGTTTCTAAAAAATAAAAAAAATATTGAAAATAATCACATTGCTAAATTTGCTAATAGTTTTTCAAATTATATTACAAAAATTCTAGAAATATCATGAATCAAAGCCGTATCAAATGTTTTTACTGTAAGGGTATTTGAATCAGATGTTTTATATCCAATCATTAAGTTTGCAGCTCAGGAGAGGAGAAAGAATTACTGTATACTTTAATTTACAGCACAATTTTATAGATGTTTCCTTAATCCACACCAATAGTATTTATGTCCAGTTAATTGCTTCAGTATTACAATCTGCAGCTTGAGAAGAGCAGCACAAGTGTCTTATGGTATCTTTGCAATTTTTTTAATTTATAAATATAGCAAAATAATTACAGTACATATACATACATGCTGATGGAGTTTTCTGCAATGAACCAAGAAAAAAAAATCTTGGATGGAAAAATAGATGGTTCATGTGGTTTTAATGCATGATAGGTATGAAAACAATAAATTCCATACTAGGTCTCATAAGGAAAGAAATTGAAAGTAACTTTTCTAATGCCCTTATACAAATTTGTGGTTATTTCTCCATCAGGAACACTACATACAAATCTAGTACCAATATTTGTCAGAATTACCAGTTTGGAAATTTCAGTTTCCAAGTTTGATAAGTTTCCTTATGTAAATCTATAGAAAAAATCTAGGGCAGTGTAAAGAATTGGATCTTCTTTTGTTAAGTTTCCAATTACTTCCAATTTCTTAATCAGATCTATAATGATAAGTTATACTGACAATTAAAACAGTTAAAAATAATGCATATTGAGACTAGGGATTAATAAAGACTAACTAAGTTGACATAAATATTCTGACTAATAAGCCACAGTATATAGTACACTTCATGCAGCAGTCCCTACATAATTGTCCATTAGTGAAAATAAATAAATAATCAGATTTAATGTAAGCTAGGGTTTTAAACAATAGTTTTTGCTGTTATTATTTTGATAGTTTTAAAAAATTTCACATCAAGTTTTATTCAATTTCTGAAAATCTAGAAATGCTATACTATATTTTAGTATCTTATTTCAATCAAAATATAATTTTGGTGGTATTGGATTCATGACTTCAAGTTGTAATTTGTTGGCTATTTAAAGGATGCATAAACCAAGTAGACATGTTTTGTCAGGACTCATGAGATGTTCTAATTTAGGTATCCAAACACCCAGAACGAATATGATTTCCAGGTATCATAGTCACATGGGACTAATTTGCTTTTAACTGTATGAGTCCATACATAACTTCTATATACATCTATGAGTCAATAGATAATTGTAGGAATATCAAGACATGGACAATATTGTGATAGTTATTTAATAATGTTATATCCCCACTGTGTTGTTATACATATTTTAAATAATTTTTAAAATTATAACTATAGAGGAAAATGTAATGTCCAGAACTCCAAATAATGAATAAAATCTCAAAACATAAAGAATATTCACAGTAGTTCATAAAATTCAGATATGTAATACTTACAGTGTATTTCTAGGACTTGCATTGCTATCTGAGGTGTGGAATTCAACGATTCATGATCTACTCTGCAGCTTACAACTGCACCATCATCAGAACGATCTGCTCTGTAATTCATTGTGCTGCTAACGGTAAATGTTTTCCGATTTGCATCCTCTTCTTTTAAATATTTAACATCTGTAAAAATAAAGTTTGCTATAATTTAGCATCAAGGGCTGACAATAAAAGGGAAAAGAAGACTACAGAACATAAAATCATTTTAAAATAGCAAATAAAAAATGTACCTTTCATCATGTTTGCTCATCTTATCAAGGCAAACAAGTTCTATTTCCCGACATTCCTTTGTCTTATAGAACTACCCATGTTGTCATTCCCAAATGTACACAGACACAGATGGGAAATGCAATTTCAATAAGAACCAAAAGACAGAACTGTCAGAATGAGATTCTGCTCCTCATTATCTTTAATATAATTAGATTGCAATCCAAATATTTTCCCCTTAAGACTATTTTCTTTCCTCACGCCTTTTTTCCCTCCTTTTATCTATTGGTATTTTAATCATTGTCAAATTTGCTTTGTTTATCTTTTCCTTTTCAGTATGCACAAACAATATTAAGTAACAAAACAATGGAGATCTTAAAACTAAGTAATCAGCTTCAGACTAAAACCTTTATTGTAGAAAAAAATACTTTGATGTAACCTGCAGCAATTTTTTCATGTTATTTTCAATTTTGGATAAAAAAGCCAAATAATTTTACACTTATTAATACTGACATTTCAAACCATTATTAAGATTATTTAACATTTCTTTCTTTTTTTGTATCCTTATTGATATGAGCTGTTTAAACATTGCAGTGGTGACATTTTTTAATCAATACTGTACAAATACCACTACAGGTAGTCCTCCATTATGACCACAATTCAGCCCAAAATCTCTATTGCTGAGAGAGACAGCTGTTAAATGAGTTTTGTCCCACTTTACAACCTTTCTGGCCATAGCTGATAGATTGTTAGGTGAATCACTGCAATTGTTAATAACCCTATTGTTAGTAACACAGTTCTTTGGCTGTTAGATGAATCATTGCAGAAGTTAGTAAGACAGTTATTAAGTTGTGAAGTGAATTTGACTTCCCCTTTCACTTTGCTTGTCAGAAGGTCACAAAAGGTGATCACGTGATCCCAGGACCCTGTAACCGTTGTAATTTTGAATAGTCACTAAGTGACTATTGTTAAGTTCATGACTACATATTTATCAAAACAATGTATATATTATGTAAGTTTTATAACAAAATAATAAGAAAATCACTATAAAAAAGAAATAGAATATTTTTTTCTGAAATGATCTTAGGATTTTTAGAAATCCACTCATTTTTTAAAATGTTTACACAAAAAGCTATTTATTTTGTATTTGTACTTACACCTGTGTAACATTACATTATTTCTTTTCATGGTCAGTAAATTACATAAAGAGATTAAAAGAAAAATATATTGGAGAAAGACCAAAAAAAAAAAAAAAGAAATTTAAATACACCACACTATTCACTATATTTTCTATACAATTTTTTTCTTGTAATTTATTCTGCAGAGACATCACCCTGCCAACTAAAGTGCATATAGTCAAGGCCATGGTTTTTCCAGTTGCAATGTATGGATATAAAAGTTGGACCAAAAGAAAAGCTGAGTAACAAAGAATTGAGGCCTTTGAACTATGGTGCTGGAGAAGACTCCTGCGAGTTCTTGGACTCCAAAGCGTTCAAACCGGTCAGTCCTAGAAGAGATCAACCCCAACTGCTCTTTAGAAGGCCAGATCCTGAAGTAGAAACTCAAATATTTTGGTCACCTAATGAGAAGGAAGGACTCACTGGAGAAGGGCCTAATGCTGGGAAAGATTGAGGACAACAGAAGAAGGGGATGACAGAGAATGATGGAGTCACTGAAGCAGTAGGCATGAGCTTAGATGGACTCCAGAAGATGGTGGAGTACAGGAAGGCCTGGAGGAACGTTGTCCATGGGGTCGCGATGGGTCAGACACGACTTCACAATTAACAACAACAATTCATCCTGCCACATCCATTCATAAATATTCATAAACCATTTTGAGTTTTTTCATTGACAAGATTAATGTGAGAATCATTCATTCCATGGTTCATCAGCTGTTGTCTAAGTCAGTTCCCACCAACTGAAGTGACACGACCCTTTTGTATTTTTTCTGTGATGGTAATAAAAACAACTGTTTTATTACCATCACAGTTGCATGCTGCTCTTTTGAATCTATCCGGGATAGGTATTCTGAATTTCTGTATTATGTATTTCTTTGCTGCCATAAAAGTGCAATCTGATTTTTTTAAAACTCAGGTTGTTTAATCCATAGCAATTGTTATTCCATAATGTTAATCACTGTTGGGTTTTGGAAGAAAACCATCCAGTTTTAGAGAAATTATAAAATATGCAGTCAAAGTATGGAACAACGTTTATGTACATAAATTATGAATGTTGTGATGCATTTTGGTTTATTGTCTAAAAAAGCCTCCCTGCAGCATTTTGGATTACAAGAAAGTGAAACTTCAGGAAAAAAAAGAGATTTGAATGTGTCTTCAAAACTTTATTCAAAATAAACAAAAGAAGCAAGTTGTTTCAGTTTTATAAATTTCATTAATTCTCATTTGAGGAATATGATTACAATCTTCTGAGAACTGAATACATAAATTGAATACATAAATAACAATTTATAAAAAATCAGTGCTAAAAATAATGTATCACACTCAGTTTGATATGATCAATTGTTAGGTGTAGCTATGGGATATGATCTGTAAAATCCACATGTTGAATAGCAGCAAAGACTCTTGTACCAGAGACGTGATATGATTGTGTAGTATAGGACAAAGACAAACTATATAAAGGACATGAACTATATAAAGGACAAGAAGCAACAGATGGAAACTAACCAAAGAGAGAAGCAATCTAGAACTAAGGAGAAACTTTCTGACAGTTAGAACAATTAACCAGTGGAACAACCTACCCTCAGAAGCAGTGAATACTCCAACACTGGAAGTTTTTAAGAAGAGACTGGACAGCCATTTGTCCGAAATGGTATAGGATTTCCTGCCTGAGGAGGTGGTTGGACTCGATGACCTCCAAGGTCCCTTCCAACTTTTTATTATTATTATTATTAATGCGGGCAACATCCGAGCCGGTATGGCATTCTGAAATTTACGTCTCACCATATTTTTTTATGGGAGAGACACTCTTTGTCTGACTCCTCTGATGAGACCTGTCCAGTATGGTTGAACCTCTGGCATAGCTCTCATCTTCCTCAGAGTACACAAGCCCCACAACCACGTCAAGGTAGTGCCTCACTAGGGGATTATTATTATTATTATTATTATCATCATCATCATCATCATCATCATCATAAATGTTAGAAAATTGAAATTATAGAAACAGTACAGAGATATTCTTTCCTACTGAAACTCATCTTGTGATATGAAAGGGAGATTAATAACTGTTGTGACACCCATACCCAAGTCTGCTCCATGGTTTCAGTTCCATAACATATAAATATATCTTGATTATGAAAACTAATTTAAGAAAACATATATATGCTGTTGTACAGAGTTTTATATATCTCTTTCAGATATTTCAAAGAGTTTGAATAATTGGCTAATTTACTAAAATACATATCATTCACAGCTTCTATGAAATAAATAGGAGCAGTTACTCTATCAGAGACACTAATGCTGCTTGCAAAAAATCCATGAATTGATTTAATAAAAAAAATCATACAAATCCATGGAGTGCATTAATACTGAAATGAAAATTCTCCAGGAGAAAAATAATATGAAAAAAGATGTGAGGGGAAAAAAAAAATCACCAAAGGCTTTCAAAAGTCTATTGTTTCTTTGAGTTTGAAGCCCTTTATTAATTTACCTATAAGCAGGGCTTTTTTTGTCATAGAATGCCCAGAATGGAGTTCTGGCACCTTTTTTGGATGGAACCTTATAGGGTAGGCAAGGCGGGTTGTATGACGTGTGTGAGTTCCAGCACCTTTTTTTTTTTTACAAAAAAAGCACTGCCTATAAGTAAGCCTGATTTAGAGTATTTTTTTTACACCTGCCTTTTCCAAGAAGCCTGTTCTCCATTAATTATCCATATCCATGATACTATTTGGATTAAGAAAGTCATATAAGGCAGAAAAGGAGTAAGAAATAATAAAATAATGAAATTAAAATCATGACATGAGAAAAAGGAAAGGCTAAAATGGAATGGAATAGAACAGAACAGAACAGAACTGGAAGGGACCTTGGAGGTCTTCTAGTCCAGCCCCCCACTTAAGCAGGAGAACCTATACCATCTCAGACAAGTGGCTGTCTATCCTCTTCTTAAAAATCTCCAGTGCCCACAATTTCTGGAGGCAAGTGGTTCCACTGATTAATTGTCCTCCCTATCAGAAAGTTTCTCCTTAATTCTAGGTTGTTTCTCTCTTTGTTCAGTTTCCAACCATTGTTTCTTGTCCTGCCATCTGGTGCTTTGTAGAATAATGGGAACCCCTCGTCTTTATTGCAGCCCCTCAAATACTGGAATATTCCTATCATGTTGCTCCCGTTTCTTCTTTTCTTTAAACTAGCCAAACCCAAATCCTGCAGCCGTTCTTCGTATGTTTTAGTCTCCAGGTCTTTGATCATCTTAGTTGCTCTTCTCTGATTTTTTTTCCCAAACTCTCAACATCTTTTTGTGATATGGTGACCAAAATTGGCTGCAGTATTCCAGGTGTGGTCTTACTAGGATTTTATAAAGCACTACTAATACTTCAGTGATCTTGATTCTATGCCTCTGTTTATACAACCCAAGATTTTATTAGCTTTTTTGGCTGCTGCTGCACACTGCTGGCTCATCGTCAAGTGATCATCCACTAGGACTCCAAAGTCCCTCTCACAGTTACTGTTTTTTAGCCAGGTCTTGCCCAATTTGTACTTATATCTTTGAATTTTCCTGCCTAAATGTAAAACTTTGCTTCTCTCCACATTGAAACTCATTTTGTTGGAAGGGCCCATGCTCAAGTTTTTCAAGATCTTTTTGGATCCTGAGTTTGTCTTCTGGGGTGTTGGCTATTCCTGCTAGTTTGGTGTCATCTGTAAATTTGATAAGTTCTCCTTCAATTCCCTCGTCTAAGTCATTTA